GTCGCATTAGGAAGGTTGAGAACCACTGATCTACAGGGTCTTTAGGAGAAAGGCCTGTGTAGCCTCTTAATTGATGTTTTCTGACTTCTTTGGGTTCTAATATCTATTGCAATGGCTACGCAGAAACTTGGACAAAATTCACAATTAAGGGGTTTATTACAGAAGTTAACAAGCTTTGTCTCAGAAATTCTCGAGGTACTTGTTTACCAGGACATGTTACAAAGTTTCAGACCTGTTAACAAGGCCCAAAGAGGCACACACCCCTGGCCCTCAGCTCCACTTCCATGGGTCAGCAGATGCACCTTCCCCAATTAAGGGCCCAGAGGCACCCCTCTCCACAAGCCAGCCCCTGCACAAAAACACTATTTTAACTTGCTCTGTGGCCTGGGAAGTTTCTCATTCTGTTCCCTGCTCTGGCTCCTGATTTTGCGGCTGCTCCTCGGTAGTATAGCAGTTTTCTGGACCCAGGAAGGTTATTGTACAGAGACCTCTGGTCCAGAGGACATGCTCCCCTCTTGGCTATTCCTGGTAATGAGATTCCCTCCTCCTGCTTCTTAAAGGGCTCACTTTATATACAACAGGATGACATTCCAAGGAATCCTGGTCTAATTACTCACAGGTGAATCCTATCAGTATCTTCCCTCACCTTCTTACCTGACCTGTGCAGAGAAAGGGGAGGTTGGGTGGGAGTTAGAGACTTTGGCTAGAAGAGGCACATCAGATAACTCACTGCCCCTGTGGTCTAGCAATACCCTCTTGAAAAATTAGTCCTTGGAAACCCCACGACACACAGTTCCACTATGACACATGTTGGGTTGCCATGAATTGAAATGTACTTGGTGGCAACTGGTTTCTGGTGGCTGTGTGTGCCTGTGGGAGATATGTCCCTAGAGGTTGAGAGTGTGCCTGTGGGGGAGATGTGGGAGTATCTGTGGTACATGTGGGTGGCAGGGGTGTGTTGGTGGTACATGTGTTTGGTGAGGGTGTTGGTGCGTGTAAGATATCTGTGAGCATTTGAACTAACTGTAGATGTGGGGGGGCATCCTGGGGGGGGCGGGGCAGTGTATGTTTGTTGTTGAGGGAGGTGGTGCTCGGCTCTCTGATTCTTCTCAGACCCTCAATACTGCACGGGCCCAGGCAATGGTCTAATGGTGTATACTCCAGCTGCCCTTTAGGCATTGACAGCCTGGTTGGTTGGGGCCGACAAGATCTCTGGTCCCTGGCTTGTCCCTGGGAGAATAGAAGCTGCCCTCTAGCTTCAGGAGTGTCCTCCCAAGTTTTAGACCAAAGTGGTCAGGGGTGGCTGCCTTCTTCTCTTCTTACCTGCCGGCTATCAAGCCTCTGTGTTCTGGGACACATCTTTCTACCTTACTTTTCCTTAAAAAATGAAACCTCTTCAGGAAAGATGCATTCTCAAATTCTTGCAACATCAGCTTCTTACCAGCCCTCCTGTCATTTGTGATTTCATCCATGCGGCACTCTTGGCATTTCTGCCGCTCTGTGACAAGGTGTGCTTATGGCAGGTTCTTCTCTTCCTCTCAGCACTCATCACTTACTCATTTCTGCGCATCAGCCTCTTTATGACTGTTGTCATGGTCTCCCCTCTCCTAAGATGATTACCATCTTCTGGCTTTCTGTTGTGTCTAAATGTTCAACTCTGAACTGGCAGCACAACTTCCTAATTTCTCCCTTTGATGATATGCTCCAAGGCCGGGTCCTTGCACCTAGCTTAAAATCTGTGCACAGGCTTGGGCTCTTCACGTGTGGGATCAGAGTGTGATCTGGGAGATCAGAGATGCTCAGGTCCTCACGTTAAAGCTGTTCACCACATTTTACAATGGTCTTGGCAACATATGGGTGTACCAGTTGTCTTCCAATCCCATCGGCTGTGTATACACACATTTTCCGTGAGTTTTTAAAAAAAATTCTGTTTACTTCTTTGACTTCCAGTCCCAGGACCTTATTCGCTACACAAAGGTGCCTGGCTAAGGAATACCAGTTCATGCTCTACTCCCTACGTAGGGAACACCAACTCAGGGCTGTGTGTGCCTGCAGGGGCAAGCAGGTGTTGGATAGGCCTGTGGTGGCCCTGGTCGTGAACGCTGGGTATGGAGCTTTCAGATTCATATCAGCCCTTTAAGCATTTTACAAAGCATACCCCAAATATTTCCCTTTTGCTGCTTTTAAAAACAAAAATAAAAAACATTAGTTGCCATAGTGCTGATTCTGATTTGCGGCCACCCCGTGGGTGTTAGAGTAGAACTGTGGGTTTTCAATAGCTGATTTTTCAGAACGAGATCACCTGGCCTTCTTTTCAGGTGTCTCTGGGTAGACTTGAAGCTCCAACTTTTGGGGTAGCAGCTGATCACGTTACTAATTTGCACCACCTGACCTGCTGTTGTCACGTTAAGTCTGACTCATGGTGGTTTTATAGGCCAGAGTAGAACAGCCCCAGGCCGTGTCGAAGGCTGCCATCTCTATGGAAGCAGACTGCCGCTCAAACCACTGACCTCTCGTTTGGCAGCTGTGCGCTTAACCACCGCATCACCTGAGCTCCGCACTGCTTAATTTTCGTTTTTATCCGACCAAAGTTAAAAAAAAATCAAGCTTAAAAACAAAAACAAAAATAATCAACTTAGCCATCTTGTCACAAATAATTTTAGAACCCTTGAAAATAAAATTTCACCATTCTTCTTCCATACTTAAACACAATTTAAGTACACAGATGTGAAGTGAATTTTGGCATGAAGCATGTGTAAAGTTAGAGTTCCTTGCTGTTGGTTGTCTAAACAGCATTGACTTAAGAAGAAAAAGGTCCCTTCTTCCATGGTGAATTGTGCTAAAGGAGCCTTGGTGGCATAATGGTTGTGGTTGGACTGCTAACTATAGGTCAGCAGTTCATAGGAGGCAAAAGACATTGACAGAGGTATAAACATAGGCATATACATATGTAAATATATTCATATACAGCGATAGGGATATAGGGCTCTGTATATATACTTATATTTTAACTATCAAGGTAGCAGACGGACATTGGGCCTCTACTCAAGGCCTCCGTCAATGCAAGAATACTTTGTTCTAATAACCTGGCGTTCTGTGATGCTCACCTTCCCAACACGATCACTGAAGACAAAATGGGTGCATAAGCTAATGTGGTGAAGAAAGCTGATGGTGCCCGGCTATTACAAGATATAGCATCTGGGGTCTTAAAAGCTTGAAGTTAAATAAGCATCCATGTAGCAGGGAAGCAACAAAGCCCACATGGAAGAAATGCACCAGCCTGTGTGATCACAAGGTGTTGATAGAATCAGGTATTGGGCATCAGAAGACCCAAAACGAACAACCATTTTGATGCAAATTAGGGGGTGTAGAGTGGAGACCCAAAGACCATCTGTAGATAATTGGGCATCCCTTTACAGAAGGGTCACAAGAAAGGGACAAGCCAGCCAGGGTGCAGTATTGCACCAATGAAACACACAATACCCTCTAGTTCTTTAATGCCCCCCACCCCCACTATCATGACCCCAGTTCAATCTTACAAATCTGGCTAGAACAGAGCATATACACTGGCACAGATAAGAGCTCTTAACACAGAATCTAGGATAAATAAACCCCCCAGGAACAATAATGAGAGTAGTGACACCATGAGGGTAGGGGAAGGTGGGGGGGAAAGGAGGAACCGGTCACAAAGATCAACATACAACTCCCCCACACAAACACCCTGCCAGGAGGACAACAGAATGTTGGTGAAGGGAGACAGAGGAGGGTGTAAAATATTAAAATAAAAATAACTTATAAATTATCAAGGGTTCACAAGAATGGGAGAGGAAAAAAAGAGAAGCTGATACCAAAGGCTCAAATAGAAAGAAAATGTTTTGGAAATGATGATGGCAATGTATGTACAAATGTGCTTGATACAATTAATGTATGGATTGTTATAAGAACTGTAAGAGCCCCCAATAAAATGATTTATTAAAAAAAAAAGTTTAAAGATCAGCAGTTCAAAACTACCAACTGCTCCTTGAAAGCTTTCTATTCCTGGATAAAGTTAACAGTCTCAGAACCCACAGGGCAGTTCTGTCCCGACTGGTAGGGTCACTATGAGTCAGACTGGACCTGGTGACAGGGAGTCTGTTTTTGTTGAGAACTTAATAGAGCCACGTGGATCCATACATGACATTTCCCCCATGACCTTTGACTTTCTATTTTTAATCTTGTGCCATGTTTTATGCCCAGTAGGGTGATCTATCATTCCTCCAAACATTCTCTGGAGATTTTTTTTAACCTTCTGATTTTTTTCCCAGATGAGTTTTACCATCACTTCATGAAGCTTGACAAAATGCTCCCACTGAAATGTCAGTGGAAGTTCATAGAAACTATGTATTTATTGGTTTGGGTGCTGTTAACTTTATGGTGCTCAGCCAAGAGGGAGGGGTCGTTTATCCAAATCTTCTTTGATTTCTCCCACTAGGGTTTTATAACTTCCCTGAATGACTGTTGAATTCTGAGTGACAGGTCTGGGCTTGGAGGGTATCTGTGGAGTCTCTGGGACCCCATCCTTGAAATCAGGTTGTGTCTGTGGGGTCATGGCCTGAGAACATACTCAGACAAAGCAAGGGCGTCCAGCTCTTGTTAGGATGTCCTTACCACCCATCCAGCCGGTCCTATTTCCTGACCAGAGTCCATAGCTCTTCCCACCCTTAGCCCTTCCTCGTCGGCAGGCTCTATGTTCTGAATGGCTCCTTGAGCCCTCTGAGCTGTACTTTCCCACCACCACCACCAGCCCCACCAGCCCCACTTTGCTCCCTCTCTACCAGTTGGGATTTTGCCTGAGCCTTCCCTGTCCTTTGCTATCTCTCTCTCTCTCTCTCTTTCTCTCTCTCTCTCTCTCTCTCTCTCTCTCTCTCTCTCTCTCTCTCTCTCTCTCTCTCTCGGTCCTCCTCACGAGCCCTCTGACCCTTATGACCTTACCTGACTCACTATACTGTACTTCCCACCAGGCATGATGACCTTAAAGAGATGCTGGACACCAACAAGGACTCCCTCAAGCTGGAGGCCATGAAGAGGATTGTGGCGGTGAGGGGGAAGGGAGGGCCCTTCTTTGGGGAGGGGTCTGGGTGTCAGAGGGCACCTGTGGACCCTCCATTAATCAGTTGTGCACCTCGTGGACCCTCCATTAACCTCTGCCCTTTGTCTTCCCTAACCTCGCCACCCCACCTCCCCCCTCTAAGGTGACCAGACGTCCCGCTTTTGGGAAGAATGCACGACAAGCTAGGGAATGGTCTATTTGGTCCATATAGGCCAAATTTTTAATCCAGAACACCCCCCCTCACAGCCCCCCACACACCCCCTTCAATGGTGTCCTGCTTTTAATCTGGTCACCTTACCCTAACCCCCCCAGATGATTGCCCGGGGAAAGAATGCCTCCGACCTGTTTCCTGCAGTGGTGAAGAATGTAGCCTGTAAGAACATAGAGGTAAGCACCATCCAATGAGGGATACCTCGTCCTCACCTCTACCAAGAATAAACTCAACCTGGGTGGGGAGTACGGAAGAGAACCATTGACCTGCTCAGAAATGTCCTCTGGCCCAGAGGAGACTGTCTACATGTCCCTGAATGGCATGTGGGTCAGGATGAGACCCAGAAAAGCGCGGGGATGCTTCCCTCAGGGGGGTTTTCCCCATGTACTGCAGCTGCCAGGGGGATGACATTCCAGAGAGTGATATGCCAGTCCTTGCTTGGAAACCTGCTCTTTCCCCAGGTGAAGAAGCTTGTCTATGTGTACCTGGTGCGCTATGCGGAGGAGCAACAAGACCTGGCCCTGCTGTCCATTTCTACCTTCCAGCGTGGGTTAAAGGTCAGAGGTCTCAGTTTGGAGCTTTGGGGCCTGAGCCTCATGGGGTTTGTTTTGGAGCAGTGGGCACAGGTAGAGGCTGTGAGCATGGGGTAAGGAAACAATCTGCAGGATGGGAGAGCCAGTCAGACCCTCAGAGGGTGAAGGTTGGACTCAAAAGGGGCATGAGAAAGTGGGTACTCAGGATCCTCATCCTCCTCTCAGGTGTCTGTAGTGATGACTGCTTCAGGTGTGAATCATTGAAGCCACTGACAACAGAAAGTCTCTCTCCCTTACGCCCAGTGACGGAAAGTTGCTCACTGTGGCCCAGAGCCACACAGAAAGCAGCCTGGTTGAGACAGGGTTCCCCGAGGGAGCTGACCTGGATTCCTCGCCTCTGGGCACCACAGTCTTGGCACTGGCAGGCTCACCTAGTCTAGGTGTCTGCAGAGAATAATGGCTATGGGAACCTTTTCACCTGGAACTTTGTAAGGAGAACAGATGGTTTGACTTGAAATACCTGAGCCCCACTGAGAGGAAAATAACAACGTTTACAGTTCAGTACAGTTGCCTCACACCTGGGGGGGGGTGGTGTCCAAGGTTGAGTTGGTTTTGACTCATAGCAATCCTACAGGACAGATTAGAACTGCCCATAGGATTTCCAAGGATGTAATCTCTTTGCTAATGAGTTATTTTACTTCTGTTGTTGAGAATAGACACAGCAGGACACACACAAATGAGATTTCTCCGTGTGCAGTTTGGTTACACGGATTACCTTGTCAAATGGTGCAACCAAGCTCACCTTGCTTTGCTTAAGCAGGTAGGTTTGAACTGCCGACCTTGCGATTAGAAACACAACAAGTAACCAAGTACACCATCCAGGCTCTTTTAGATGACTACAACTTAAAAAAAATCCTCTCATTATATTACATTGAAACCTCCTTTGCTGTGATTTTTCTAAAAAGATCTCAGGTTTACAAAAAGTTACACACAATATACGTAATGAATATTCAGTGTAAGAAACAAAATATTTATCGAAGTCCCCCCCATGTATCTTCCCTGTTTATTATTTATAAATATATGTATACACACACAGAGATTGCTGATAAATGGTGTCATAGTATGTGCTATGTATTCCTCAGCAAGTTGGCTTCTTTATTGCTGGCTCCGTTACTGTCTCTTGGCCTTTCCTGGACACCGGAACCAGCCATTTCCATCCCCATTTCTTCCCTCTTTTCATCAGCCCAGCTGAGGCATTTTGCTTTCTTAGCAGCAGCCCCTGTGGTTGGCTGAATTTAGATAAACCTCCAGTTAGTAAGAAGATAATCTAGCTTCCCAATATCCTATCCTTGTGCAATTGCTTACTTTGACCACCTAATAAAATCTTTTTAACCACCTATGCAATCAAAGAAGAGGTCTCAGGTTTGACCTGCAGCTACCCAGGAGAAGAGGGCTGCCCCCTCCCACCCCTACCCCCACCCCCGCACTGACCAGACTCAGGTGTGATGCTTCAGTACATCTGTGGTCAGACCATTTGCCAAGCTTGTGAGGCCACCTGCTCATATCCATGGTGTTGAAAGTCACTATAGCACTGCCCCTTATTCTGCATCTAAACAAACTGGATCAAGTCAAAAGGAGTTGTTGAGAGGAGCACACAGCTTTTGAAGGACCCCAAAGTGGTGCTTGTGATTCTGAATTCCCGTGTGTTCTGTTAAAGTGAAAGGCCTGAATGACATCACTGCCAAAGAGCGGTTTTCTCCAAACCATCACATCCAACCTGATCAAGTTGCTTGCTGAAAATGATTGTTTGAACAGCACCCTGGGAGTCACATCATGAGTGTCCACGGTAGAAAAGTTCCTTACATAGTCACCACTGCATCTCCCTTAGATAACATCTGTCTCTGAATTGAAAATGGTCCCGAACAGCTTCCTAAACCAAGACCAGGGGTTGAAATTGGAGGCGAAGACTGACCCATGAGTCATCGGTGGAATGTTTGTCTGTATGGAGAGAAATACGTGGATATGTCTGTAAAATCCATGATTCAGAAGTTGAGCAGGGCTATGCAGAAGACTGTGTTAACATCCCAGGTATCTGTCATCAATGAAAATTCCTAAAGTTTGGGTATCAAAAAAAATGCACCCTGAACAGAAAAAAGAAAAAGAAGAATCAATGTATTTGAATTACGATGTTGATAAAGAATATTAAAAGTACCGTGAACTGCCAAAAGAACAAACCTGTCTTGGAAGAAGTACAGCCAAAATGCCCCTTAGACATGAGGATGGACACGCTATCAGGAGAGACCAGCCCCGGCAAAATGACGTCATGCTTGGTAATGGAAAATGGGAAGAGCCTTGACAAGATGGATTGGCACTGTGGCTGGAATAACGGACCCGAATATAACAAGAAGGATGAGGTTGGTGCAGGACTGGCACTATTTTGTTTTGTTGTACATAGGATCGTTATGAGTTAGAACCCACTCAGTGGCACTTGACAACATGAAATCTTACTGTATTCCACTTTCTGATTTAGCACAGGCCCTAAGCCCAGGGTGATTCGGAATCTTTATTTTGTCTCTCCTGATTTTGTCTTTCCCCAAGATATTAATAAGCTATTCGGACTTGGGCAACAGTTTTCAGTTCTGTAGCATATTGGAATTCCAGGCTGACACTGGTCACTTAACAAACCTGCCCCCAAACAATGTTTTACCACATTGTGGATTTACCTAATTGTACAGTGGGCTGGGATTTCTCCACATTGGCAGCAAGGAGCTTTTTCAGTAACAAAAAAGTACCTCTCATGTGAAATGGACTGTGAGGATTATAGAGATAAAATAGTTATGAATTCTCCTCTAAAAATGCTTACATATTAGATAAAACAAAAGGCCAGCACCAAAAAACAGCAATACAAGATGTAATGTATTAATTAATGTTCTTCATTTTATCTCTGTGTGCTAATAACCACTGCAATGGCTACACAAAACTCAGACATACTTCATGATTAAAGTGTTCATTGAATCACACATCATTCCTCTATTTCCTGAATGCTTCCCACCCACCCCCGCCC